TTATTCTCCACAGTTCAATCATACATAATAAAAGTTGTTTATTATCTCACAGTTCATCATACGTAATAAAAGCTGTTTATATCCCAAAGTACATTATACATAATAAAAGCAATTTATTCTCCCACAGTTCATCATACACAATAAAAGTTGTTTATTATCCCAAAGTACATTATACATAATAAAAGCAATTTATTCTCCCACAGTTCATCATACATAATAAAAGTTGTTTATTATCTCACAGTTCATCATACGTTATAAAAGCTGTTTATATCCCAAAGTACATTATACATAATAAAAGCAATTTATTCTCCCACAGTTCAACATACATAATAAAAAGTTGTTTATATTCCAAAGTACATTATACGTAATAAAAGCAATTTATTCTCCCACAGTTCATCATACATAATAAAAGTTGTTTATTATCTCACAGTTCATCATACATAATAAAAAGTTGTTTATTATCCCAAAATACATTATACATAATAATAGTTGTTTATCATAGCAAGTAAATCACACATACCAAACAGCTTGTTATTTCAAAATATGTTAAGGATAATAAGAACATGTTGTTACCCCAACGTTAATACACGCTACCTCTGAAAGGCTTAGAATATGTTTCTTATTAAGACATCTAATGCAAATTACAAAAGTGTTATTTAATACTGAGGTAGGGCAATAGTTGTATACTACTGTAATAACTTCGAGGTACCAATACTTTGCCCTCAAACTAGATGTTCTACCTTAACGAATCGCTGGTTTAAGTTTTTAATCAATAATGTCTGTTTCATACACAAGCCATTTTCATCACGTCCTCTAGCGATAATCTTAGACATACATCACGCTTTACCAACACATAGTTTATTTAGTAGCTGTCACTAAATTTGTGTGCTCTTTTATATGAATTTTTAGCCATCTAGTGAGCAAACCGATATACATTAAATTCATATTTCAATTTAGATGCTTTTAAATATGGAATTCTAACCTTATTATTAAAACAGAAATAATTGGATATAATTTTGAATGAAAAAGTCCCTAATACTGTTATAAAGTGTGATTTATTTTGTGTTTGTATCCACAACGTGAAAGCATTCGAGTTTACCATATAATGGAGCATTTGTTGATATTTTACGTACTTTTATATTACCTATAACAAACGAACTTTTTAATTTTATTTCAACAGGTATGAGCGTAGTATACCTTATAGAATTTACCCTACAGTTGCTATGTTCAATCGAATTACACAATCCTCCTTAAATACAAAAGAAATATGATTAGTCCTGAATTGTAAGTCTTAGCCAATTACCTATTTTAGTAAATGGCCCTTTAATAAACGGGTGGGGTTGCTTCAGATTGTTAGATTATAAAATACTTCAAAGATTATTTAGAAGTCATAACGTTTTCGAGCATATTTATTTCAGGTCACTTATTTCTTTTGAATGGACTATACATGCTAAAGAATTTAAATTTTCTGTTTAATTGTCTGTTTTTCACCTTGCTGCTACAAATCATGTAAACTGGCATGTTTTTCAAAAAATTCTAAGGGTCTGCGCAAATGGCGGGCTGGGTGTGATGCTGTAGTTAGCGTTCTCTGATTGTGAATCTAAGTGTTCGTGACTTGATGTTCATTGCCCCAAAAAGGTGCTCAGCGTTTTTGGGACCGTGTGTGCTATATAAGAGCGACGATCAAATCCCACTATTCGGTCAGACACGAGTTGGCGGTGTATATTATTGATTAGCTGCCTTCCTCTGTTCCCTGATGTTTACGAACTTACAACGCAGAAATCTACGGTTCGATTCCCCGCGATAGCTCAATTTGGCTTTGCTCTGAAACAACCAAGCCTTCCCTCTATTTTATCAGTTCAAAATGAGGGAAGCCATGCAAAGATGTCCCTTGCGTAGGTTTAAACTAAACTTCTATGATTCGTAATTCTGCACGAGTGGTTATTAACTATGTCTCTTTTTTGTGTTTGTTTGTTTTTTAACAGAAATATAAATAAAAATCAACTAAAGCATTAGATTTTCCAACCTATTAATTTGTTATCAGATTAGTAGAAAACATTCTGTATTCTAGCTGGTCATATATTACTTATGGTCAATATTAGTATGCTGAGATTTCAAAATTTCAACACAAATTACATAATGAGAGTTTCAGTTTCTGGAGCACTCGTAGAATGATAATGAGCGTATTTAAGAATGTGGGAAATGGAAAGTAAGGAAAGCCATTTGTTTTTCACAATGTAAGCTTTCAATTATTGCAACACAAATTATGTGCAGAAACGTTTTTGGAGTTTCGTAAATACGTTACCCAGAGTGGTTTTATCAATATTTAAATTCAACTGTTTATGTTGTATTGACGCATGGTGCATAATGGCATTGAAATTGAAATTACCTTATTTTGTTGTGTAGTATCCTGCTGGAACATTAGATGACGCCCTCAACAAGAATGGAAACCAAACGGCCATCAAACAGGTATTTGGAGTGGTTAACTAACGATTTATTTCTTTTTATGTATAACATTTTGCTATGTTTACCATATATTTTTCATATAATTAGTTTTCTTCCCAGTAACTACTAGTATTTAACTGTAGAATGTTATTTAGAATCAGATTGTTTCATTATTGATATAATAACTCAATAAGATGTAATCAAAAATCTAAAATCATTTCATGTCTTTAATTATAGGCTGCCAATTTCACGATATCAAGCTTTTAAAATTTGTTTTTTATTAAACATGCAAGCAGTTATGTTATTTCTTACTATTATTTTATGATTCTGGTATATTATTTAAACGTAAATGAAATTCGTGCCGTATTATTTGTCAAACATTTCGCGAATTTGAAAAAAGTAATCACTAAATAATATTTTACAAATCCTTACTAAATATTTCGCGTATACAAAAAAAAATATTTGTAGACAAGATTAAACTATTCGCTAATTCAGCAAATTTGATATAAAGTGAACAGAAGAACAAACGGACGTTATTCAGAAATAGAAACTCAATTCAGATGAACCATGTTTAAAGTTAGAAAAGATTCGAATGGCATTCTTATATTTCCTCCAGACTTTTTGGGCAAATCCTTAGAATAGTTTTTCGTGTAATAAAGTTGCATTCAGTGCTATTATTGTACTTTGCTGAGCTACATTCTAAAATTTTAAAAGTGAATGATATGCAAGACTGAAGATGAACCAAAGAATAGCGCCGAATTCCAAAAAGATATGTTTAAAATTTATAATAAATCCAGCAATTCTAACTTAAAGCTTGTGTCGATTAAAAGTCATAAGACTCCTGTTATTTCTAGGCAGAATTTGAAAATCGTTCTAGAAGTATACGACAATATTTCACCTGAAGAAAACTGATTGTTTATTTATATATGTTAGTTATGTTCTTCTTGAGTTATCGTAAGTAATTTATCTAAACATTTTGTGCTGTAACAAATATTATATTTATCTTATAAATTAATAGTGATACTTATTATCAAGTGAACAGAATATTAAGGGTATAGACTTCTAAATTGGAGAAAGTTATATCTATGATCAAGTGGACTGAGGCAAGAAAGGTCGAATTTCCTCTAATGTTAATACTTGATATGATTAAATGGCTGGGAACAGTAAAAGTCTAAACTCCTCTAATGCTAATACTTGATGAAAGTAGTTATCCCTACACTCCACAAGCACGCCACAGTGTGTCGACCTCAGAAAATGAGGGAGGAGGTATAGATGATGACGTCATAGACACCATGATATCATAGACATTAGAGAACATTATGTCATAGTTCCATGAAGTGACACCAGAGAGACATCTTAGGGAGGGTGGTATCATAGTTCTATACCAGAGGACCTGTTACTATAGGCGGATTCTATTAATAATATTTATAGGAGATATTATTACTATAGGCGGATGGTGTTATTAAGGTTCTATAGGCAAACAGTGTTATCAAAGTTCTGGAATAACGTTAATTGAGGCGAATGTTGATACTAAGGTTTCTATGGGCGTTACTAGGTAGATTATATATGTTTTGCGAAGGCGGATAGTACCATATGATTGCATACATATTTCAACTTATGTTTGTGTATTTATTGTGTATGTTTTACAAAGTGGATGTGTTTCTTTAGACAAATAGTCTTACTAGGCATAATGTTTTCAGTTTCGCTTTATAAGTAAAACATTAATTACAATTTACAAAAGCTGACAGTCCCGTAGAGTTGCATAAACGTCTTAACTTATGCTTTTGTTTTCATTTATATATTTATTTGTATTTCATGTTTTTTACAAAGGCAGATTATAGTTTTAGTTTCTATATTTAAGCATCCTTTTTACAATATTGTCCTCAAAAGGACGTTTATTTAAATATCATGCACTTTCACTAGTTTGTCTTTATGCTATCCATATAACTATGACTTATTGTTTTTGACAAAATACGTAATTTCAAATACGTACTTTTTACAGTGTTTCTATGTGCCGAAGATGTTATCATTACTAAGGATAGTGTTACTTTAGGCAAACAATGATCCATAGGATTTTAACACACCTGCTGTTTCTGTAAAATGACTGTGATATTAATAAAACACTTCTTTACAGTTTGTTGTTTCTTACAATAAATGATATTGTCTTTCACATTTTATAAATCCATCATGTCTACTGTACAATTTCTGTCACTACTGAATATACTTTACAATAAAAATAAGCTGTATGTTCACAATACTTTAACTCTGACAATGAAGAACGGATTTTGTATGTCACTGAGCTTATCAGTCAGTAAAACAAAATTATCTATTCATGCACTTTACAAAACAATACAGACAATTAAATGTAAATTCATGAACTTTTCAATATTTGATGGTACATTACGAAATTATTTTCTTCTTCTAGGTTACTATATTCTATTTTCAATCTAGAATTCATATATACGTTATTTAAATATATCTTTACAAATATAACACACCAAGATCTATACATAGTCTAATTTCTTGAAGGTGTAATTGCTTATACACATAAAAAAATATCAATATTGTCCACAATCCTACAATTTGGGCTATGGTCTTCAAATTTATCCGAGGGGTAAATTCCTGTGACAAGCTGATTGTTCGGTAACATTTGATATTAACAAATAACACAAACTGAAATGTGTACGAATTATAAATACTGGACTGCTAAGACTAAATGGACTTTCATACAAGTCTGGTACATTAAAGTTAGTGTAAACTCACACATACTTTTTTTTCTTAGTTAGACTGATCTTTGTTTATTAGTTACATGACTGCTACTTGAGAAACAATCCATTCTGTATCATTTAATGAAAACAAAACATGTGTTTCATCTGATACATAACAACATAGAACACTGATTGAGGCTCTAGTACAATATAAAGGATAGAAAATGTGTTAAATACTTTGTTACATCACTCTATCATTGGAAAAATAAGTAACATAAATATTAAAGTGGGCGTTTTCAATATTGTTATATACTTCTAAGTTTGTGATCTCGCAACAAAAAGTATAGTCTACAAGAAAAGACACATCTATCCTTTACATGAAATCATTTTATAAAGAGAATTCCTATAAATTCACATAAAAACCATTCACCAACGTGAGTTGATTTATTACAAGAGCGTCAGAACACACAAGTCTATTGCTGATGCCAGATGAGATCTTTTCCTGGTAGATTGAACATAACTTTGTCTGCAGTTTTACTTGGACAGTCTTGGCATGAGACCTCGAGGCTGTCATCAAACACTGGGTCCCTATTTTTTTTTTCTTTTCACCAACAGAAATAACACTGTAATGACAATATGTTCAGCGTTGTACACTTATTTACCATCAGAATATTGTTTATTTTTCATTGATGATCACAAAACTACTTTAAAAATAAATAACATTCTCTCATCTCTGTTATACAGAGTTCATTCTTTAAGTTAGAAACATAGACAACTGTACCTTAAGGAGAACAATGTGATAATATGTTATGACTTATTTCTGTTACTACAGTGAGCATTACTAGATTTTCGTAAATCTTATTAAACTTTATTGACATCTAATATGTAAAAACTAAGACTCTATTACATCTCAATAATTGCACTCCGAAGAAGTTAGACTATGTATAGAACTGTATGAGTAATATTTGTAAACAATGATAGTTTTAAATGACAAATATGTGAGTTCTAGATCGAAAGTAGCAACTTTTAAACAGAAAAAAAAATTCCTAATGTATCATCAAATATTGAGAATTTCAAAGATGTGCATTTAGCTTTATGCATCGTTACGTAAAGAGAAACTAGTTAAAGTGCATGGTATTTGAATAAGCATCCTTTTGAGGACAATATTGTAAAAAGTATGCTTAAATATAGAAACTAAAATTATAATAGTCCTATAGAAACATTATCATCCTTCGTAAAACCTATATAATATATAGATGAAAATTATAAATATAAGTGGAATCTGTATGCAATCCTGCAGAACACTATCCGCCTTTGTAAAACACATGTAATACAGATAGATATATAAAAGAAAACGAAAACATTAGTTAAGAACTGTATGCATCCCTATGGGACTGTCAGCCCCTTTAAGTCATACCTAATGCTTTACTTATAAGGCAAAACTGAGAAATCAACGTTATGCCTAGTAAGATCAATCGCCTGAAGAAAGAGATCGGCCTTTGTCAAACGTATGCAATCATACAATATTATCTACCTTTGAAAAACATACATAATCTACCTAGCAACGCCTATAAAAAACCTTAGTAACAACGTCTGCCTAGAGTAACAGTATCCCAGAACTTTGGTAACACCATCCTCCTATAGAACCTTAATAACTTTATCTGCCTTTAGTAACAACATCGCCTATAAACCTTAATAACACACTCTGCCTATAGTAACAGGTCCTCTGGTATAGAACTATGATATCACCCCTCCCTAAGACTGCCGTGCCCTCTGGTGACACGTCATTGAACTATGAAGTCATCTTCTCTAATGTCTATGACTTCATCATTTCTAGTGGCTATGACCCTCTACCCTCTTACACACTTGTGGTGCTCTCTGGTGGCGTATCTGTCAATTGCTGGAATAACTACTGATGTGATTCAATGTATGAGGTCAGGAAAAGTCTGAACTCCTGTAACGCTAATACTTGATATGATTAAATGAATGTGAACAATAGAAGTTGGTTTGTTTTTTTTAAGTTAAGCACAAAGCTACACAATGGGCTATCTGTGTTCTGCCCACCACGGGTATCGAAACATGGTTTCTAGCATTGTAAGTCCGTAGACATACCGCTGCGCCACTGGATGGTCAGTAAAAGTCTAAACTCCTGACTCCGGTAATGGTGATATGTATTTTCAAATGAGAGTGAGATTAATAGGGTCTAAACTGACACCAACTTCGGGTAATTAAAGTGCCCGTATCAAAAAAATAATAGTAACTACATTTATTTTGTACAAAGGACAATACTGTTACAAGACCCATTTAATAAATTTT